TCGCTATTCACCCACTGTCTACCCGCTATTCACCCACTGTCTACCCGCTATTCACCCACTGTCTACTCGCTATTCACCCACTGTCTACCCGCTATTCACCCACTGTCTACCCGCTATCCACCCACTGTCTTCCCGTTATTCACCCACTGTCTACCCGTTATTCACCCACTATCCACCTTCTATCCAAGCAGATGCTCCCACCCAGAACAATCTACAGGCTAAAAATGTATAAAAAAAAACACAATGATGGCAGTGATCTGTGAACAAGAGCATGAGAATGGGATCTGCACTTAGTTGCACTGCTAAAAATATCCCTGCACGTGAAGGCTGGTGTGCTGAGCAGAGCATGCATGGGGGGGGGGGGGCTCGTTACACAAAGTGAGAGGCAATGAGGGGGAAAACTGGGCTGTGCTTACACGCCCCCCACCCCCCCGAGAACCCAGATGGTGGTGGGTGGGTTCGTCGCCCGTCCCCGCGTAGAGCCAGGATGCCGGCCCCGTCGAGCGAGGGGGTGGGATTTATTTAAAGACGCCGCGCCGCTATTGTATGTGACGTGTGCCATCAGGTGATGAGAGCGCTTCCCACCCCCGAAGCGAGGGACCGTCGCAGCAGGTGGTCAAACATGCGTTATTGAAACAACCGCCCCCCCCCCCATCTGAAAGGTCAGGAGAGTTGGGTAAAGTGAGCCGTGTCATGGGCGAGCAGGCTGACTCCCCAACCTGTGGACGAACTCACTAGCACACAAGACATCCCACAAACTGTCCAGGTCCTGTGCCGCCGGACTATGGAGACACGCGACAAGAAATATCTGATTGGCACAGAATCTTCACCACACATCCTCATACTGTCTGTACGCAGATATTCCCACTAGATGCCAAAAAACAACATGCAATAAATGCTATATGATTAGCAAACAGATGCAATACATTATTACTTTTGACACAGTTATTAAAATTGCCTATAATACGCTTTAAAAGCTAGCGTTATTATTATAAATCACTAAATGTCTCCTCCCGGGAGCTTTGAAATTAAACACTTCAGCAGATCATATGCATGTTATTTAACAGACCCACTAATGTAGTGACTTAGGTCCATTTATGATGCCATTTCATCAGGCAGGCCACAAGGACGCCTCTGTAATATGGTTTTAAAAAACAGGGCCAATGTGCTGCTTCAGCAATCAGCACTGTAGCCTCACACCTCCAGGTGTTGAGGGTTCAAATCCTGCCACCCACTCTGCGTGTGTTTGCATGTGTGCTTGACAGGCAGTGACGTAAATCAGTTTCACTTGTGTGTGTGTGTGTGTGTGTCCTGCGATGGACCTGCATCCTGTCTCCTGCATTCTTCAGTTTTTTTTTGCTGTTGTTTTACTGGCCACTGGATCATTTAATTTTTTATATAATAGGTCTTCTCTGTTGTTTTACTGTGCGGTTCACTGGGTGTGACAAATGCAGTTACCAATGAAATGTATTATTATTATTATTATTATTATTATTATTATTATTATCATCATTGTTATTATGATGCCGTGTGCTGCCTTTGATATGCTTCAGACTAACAATGAGCCTGTTCTGGATCAATACTTAGGAAGATGGATGAATGTAAGCTTGTAATTTCAATGACTCTTATATGATCATACTTCAAACAACTTATATTATTATTATTATCATTAATAATAATAATAATAATAATAATAACAATAATAACCAACGGTACTTGAATGACATCAATGAGAGCTATGGTAATACTTCACACTGTCCCCCGGTCCAGCAGTCTGACCCGGGGGGGCTCCGTCACTCTAGCGGTACCTGCTGGGCCTGCTAATTGCCACACAGACGTCACCCGTCTCACTCAGCCCCACCGCCACATCCACGTGGCGTCGTGCGCCAACACCGAGCCCCCCCACCCGAGGGAGTGCCGCAATCGCGTGCTGGACACCTGCCGGAGAAACACCCACGAAGAAGAAAAACGCGAGCGGCTCCAGCCTGGTGTATGTAAACCCTCACATAAGTCAGATGTACACCCCCAGACTATTCAGAACCCCTTACAGCAAAAACACACTAGAAATACATATTACAGAACACATCAAATAAATGAAAAGATGTAATTTTACTCATGAGCATATGCTGCCTCTCTGTGTTAGTGCCTCCGTAAACTCTGCATACCTGATCTACAAACCACAGCCTGATCTACAAACAATCAGAGGCCCATCAAAAGCCACACCCTCCATTTTAATTATCCAGGACAGAATCATGATGAGTCTGGAGCCTATTCCCGAAGACACAGGGCAGGAGACACCCAGGGCGAGGTGCCCAGTCCATCACGGCGCACACGAATCACACACCACCGGCATTTTTAGAAACATCTAGTCACCTAACCATGTGGTTTTGGAGTGTGGAGGCAGAGCCAGGCTGAGAGAACAAGTAAACTCCACACGCAGGGGCGTGTGTGGGAACCGAACCCACGGCCCTGGAGGTGTGAGAACACAGCACTACCCACCAAGCCATCCCCTGTCCTGCCGGCCGCACGGTCATCCCAAGCATCTGCACACCATCGACAGCTCCAAGGGGTCACAGAGGTCACCCGTCCTCACACCTGTGCTCTGGCGGATTTGGCCGCCGCCCGACCCAACCCGCCCAGTGCCTGGGGGGGGGGGGCAGATGGGCCGTGAGGAAGTCGCGGCAGCTGCCTCACGACCCAGGCGTTTCCAAGGAGACGGTGCGCTCAGGCAGCTGGAGGATGCAAAGGGAGGAGGCTGAGAAAGGCTGCCGCTGCGACAAGCAGAGAGGCAGCGTTGGAAATGGGGACGAGGGACAGAAAACTGGGGACAGAGGTTGGGAATGGGCACCGCTGGCATCGAGGAGGCTCTGCACTGTACATCCTCCCGCTGCTTGTCCCCATTACTGTTACAGCCCATTAACAAAGACTGTATCACACAGGAGCTGGGAATACAGTGTCAAACTCCATTAACTGTTTATACACCTGGATATTCAGTGGAGCATTTAAGGTAAAGAACCCTCCACATTAGCACTTCCTGGGACTTGAACCAATAACCTTCTGGTCAGCTCACACTGCTGATGTACTGCTATTATCCATGGCAGGAAATCTCTGAGATCAGGGGTTACCAGCCACTATTAAACCGGGGACCGACACCCCTAATGGGCTTTGATATTCCTCACTCTGGGGTGGGGTGGTTACAGCACATAATTATACTGCCATCAATTTTCTAAAATATGTTTCCCACAGAACCTTGTTTGGACCCACAGGGGGTCATGGAATAGCTAAAGTCCCCCCGCTTAGGTCATCTGAGTACAACAAGGTCCCCACACAGGGGACATCCTGGTGACACACAAAAGGAGTCAGAAGACCGAACAGCTCACTCACTGTGGAGTCGCTTCACATTCCGGTGGAAGTTTAAACCCATCCCCAGTGCAGTGCCCTGGACGTCTTCCGGGGGGGGGATGGAGGGTGTGGGCGTTTGGTAAATTCTCAGCGACTCCTCAGTTTAATTGTACCTTCTCACATGCTGATGCAGCCTCACTATCAATTACACACAACAAGGGCTCATTACGGCGACAAAGTGGGTGATTATACCGCCCCCTAGGCACGAACACTTGTCATGGCGATCCAGGGTATGGAGGTAAATGATTGTCTCCAACATGATCTGATGAAAGACCGCAGAAGACTCTGAGGGATCCACCAGGAGAATCCGCTCTGCCCCCTGGGACCCTGCCCACACTTCTCTCGCGCCCGGGATCCCCCCCCCCGCTAAAGTGGAGTGGGAAGTGTAGGGAGGAGACCCAGGGGGCGGGGGGGCAACAGCCAACAGACAATGCAGATGAATCAGCTTTTTGAGCATATATGTCATTGCTTGCCCCCCCCCACACACACACACCTCCATTGTGTTTTCCATGTATCTGAAATTGTCACAAGACTTAATCCCTCAGATCAGAGATGCAGGTCTCATGGGTTCATTCAACCAGATATTCTGGGAAGTCAATTTAGGTTAAACACCTGACTCAAGGGTACAACTGCAGGGCCCACGTGGGATTCACCCCATCTTGATCTGTAGACCCTGGCAGCAGGCTAGCTTCCCCCAAAGAACCTGTTGCATTTTTTAATGCTTCATAAAGCATTTTTTTTAAAACAAGCGATGCATTAAAAACATTTAAGAGTCTTTAGACCTGCATGCTGCTATCCGCCAACTTAACGTGCTTCTTTAAGCTGTTTCTCGCTTCTCCCTTAACGCAGCGTCACCTCAGCTGCAATAAAGGTCAAGGGGGGGTGAAAAGAAAAGAAAAACGTGTAAATAATGCTGGAGATAGTCTGATTAATCTCTCACTGGCTGCCATGGTAACAGTTCCCGTTGCATGGGGATCAGGGAGTGGTCTATTTTTAATGGTGGATCGACATGTCGCGTCTTTGCCTACATTTAAAGACACACCACTGTCACGTGTCCCTTTCTGAGCAGCAATGTCACCGGGACTGTGACATCCCAGACAGACAGAGGCTACCACGAAGGCTGCATGCATGGGGAGGAATGACAGAAGTCTAACTCCCCTGCTCCCCCCCAGCCACATTGGGTCTGTAGTTGCTGAATCACTCGATGATTCTAACAGGGCAGAAGGCCACCTGAGCATACCGTCCAGCAGGGGGCAACCTACAGGAATGCCAGTTGACTTACATATACGAGCACACACTGGCAAAGACACCCACACATATAAACACGCACAGACAGACAACCACACATATATTCATACATACAGACAGACACACGCATACAAACACACACATATACATACATACAGACAGGCACCCACTTCACAGACACACGATTTCACACGCACACACCAACTCTGGCACAAACTGACACAGACACAGATGCACACACAGCATAGGCTGACATGGACACAGACACATGCGGGACACAGATGCACATGGACATAAACACCCATGGAGAGACGCTCCCTGCTCATGATGAAGAGGTGATGAGTAGATGATGATGAGATGATAAGGAGATGAAGGGAAGACGAGGAGGTGATGAGGAAGCGATGGATGTTTCTCAATACCAACTCGCGTCTTGCTAACTCGCATCCCAAGAATGAACTTGGGTGCAATGAATTATGGGGATTGGTCTGATTTGGCGAGGATGCAGCCGATGCTTCCTTGATATCTGAGGCAGGGTAACAATGACATCCTGGGATTTTTACTGTCCTCTGTACTTCTGTACTTGAGTACTGTAACTGAAGACACAAACAAGAGCACAAGGACGGTCAAGTACACATACTGAGAAACCCCCCGATGAGGAGATGATGCAGAGATGACAAGATGATGAGGAAATAAGGAAGAGCTTATGAAGAGATGCCCCCAGTGGCGGTTCCCATTACTGCACAATGACGGGATGTAAACTCCACTGATACCCGTAGCGCTCGTTGCATAACCCCCCTGGGGGGTCAGCACCTCCCTCACGTACCCTTAGATTACTGACATTCAGCTCACGCTGAAAATGAGCTAAGGCATCCTCACGCATAACCGCGGCATTGCCATGCCAGGTCAGCTGTCGGGGGGCAGCTAAAAATGCTCAGTGACCTTTATCCTCATTTATTTTTTTTGGGGGGGGGGGATCACGGTCCAAGCTGCCTCCCCATGTTTCGCTTTGAAGCGGAGCATCTGCTAAATAAATCAGTGTAAACGCAGTGCTCAGCTTGCGAGCCGGAGCTCTTTCATGTGTGCCACTGGATTGGGGGGGCTGTCATCGACGTCCCTCATACAGGCATGCAACCAGTCGGGGGCGGGGGGTCAAGCCCCTGCCCCCCCAAGGAGATGACAGGCAGGAAAATCACAGACAAACAGACAGGACCCTATTGGAAGTGTCTTATCCTCGGGAGGGGGGGCAGGCGGGCACCAGCCGTTGGCGGTGTAACCGAGCACAGAAAAGCGAGCTCTGATAGGCTGCCAGGTGCTCCTGTGACACGGGGGCCCCCAGTGGAAATGGCAGCGAGGAATCCTGCGACGTCAGGGAAGGACGGAGAGGTGAAGGAGCAGAGATTCCTACGGCAGCAAAAAGCCGTTATTTAAATACACCGGCGCCATCACACAATAAGAGTAGCAGAACACGCTGAATCTCTGACACGCTAAAGGAGTATCCTATACACGCGTGATGTTTTGTTTAGCATTACCGTACCGCCACCCAAGCCTGCTTACTACATCCGCTAAGCAAAACCCATCCGTTTCAGGGAAGCTTCCAGAGACGCCGCGATGCGGCGGTTTACATGGGCAGCTGGCAGGCCGTCTGCAGGTCCCGCGAAGGACATTCGCCGCCGACTTGATTTGATCACATTGCAAATGCAGACGGTACAGCTCTGCGCGGACAGTCAGCGAGTCAAACTCAGCCTCCATGTCAATTCCTTAAACCATGACTCGTCAAAATGTAGATTCACATACATTCATAGAAGGCTAAGGTGGGCGATGCGAGTCTGATGGAAGTGCAATGTTACTGACTGCTGGTCACCTGACCTTCACCATCATCACCGTGACGATGGGAAGGCGTGGATGATTCAGGGCAATGCTGAGGCTGAGGGACATGCCCTGTGACCAGTGGCAGTCTAAGCACATGTGGATCCCTGGGCAAAGTTCACCTGACTGGGGCTTTAGGCCCTAACCGCCAGGATAGGCTCCTGACCCCCACAACCCTGCACAGGACAAGCAGGTATGGAAGATGGATGGAGTTGCGGTGTGCACAGTGTTTCACATGATTCTCACGGGGAAGAGGCTGGTTAGAGTGCCAGCTGAAGCTTGACCAGGGGTGGCTGGAGGTTGCCAATTGGATGCCCCCTGAGTAGGTGGCGCCCTTGGCAGCCACCGATGGGGCCTAATGGGTTTCCGGGCCCTGCGAGTGTAACGCAGGTTCACTGTGTGTGGGAGAGACAGGCTGGGGACGTGGCTCGTTTGGCTGTCAGAGAGCAATCTGCCCGTTTCCCGAGGGTGCTGGAGAAAAGTGGCAAATTACATCCTCAGATCCCTGCATCCCGTGTGTCTGCCCACCAGCCAGAAGGCCGAGGCTTCCCATAATCCTTCAGGGCTGCTACTTCCTTACAGTGGTAGCAAAGGGGGTGAAAATGTAACAGTTCAGATTATAAAATCCAAAAAAAGTTCACAACAAGTGTTACTTCATACTTGTTTGATCCGAAAATCATCTAACAAAAGTCAACATCATAATCTTACATTCATCTACATACAGTCATCTATAATTGCTTATCCGGTGCAGACTTGCAGTGGGCCTGGAGTCTATCCCAGAAAGCACAGGGCAGAAGGCAGGGCTACACCCTGGACAGGATGCCAGTCTATCCCAGGGCACCCACGCTCACACACAACACCACATACTGTGGGCATCTAACTGCATGTATTTGGACTACAGGAGCAAAGCAGAGTAGCTGGAGGGATCTCTCACAAACACAGGGAGAACCCCCACAAAAAGCCAGGGGTGGGATTCAAACCTACAACCTCACAAACACAGGGAGAACCCCCACACAAAGCCAGGAGTGGGAATCAAACCCACAACCTCACAAACACAGAGAGAATCCCACAACCAAAGCCAGTAGAATGAATCAAACTGACAACCTCACAAACATATGGAGAACCTCACAACCAAAGTCAGGTGAGGAAATCAAACCCACAACCTCAAAAAACACAGAGAAAACATCACAACCATATCAAGGAGTGGGATTCAAACCCACAACCACAGGGTGAACCTCACAACCAAAGCCAGGAGAGGGAATCAAACCCACAACATCACAAACACAGGGAGGACCCCACAAACAAATCCAGGAGTAGGATTCAAACCCACAACCTCACAAACACAGGGCAAACCTCACAAACAAAGCCAGTGGAAGGAATCAAACCCACAACCTCACAAACACATGGAGAACCACACAATCAATGCCAAGAGAGGGAATCAAACCCACAACCTCACAAACACAGGGAGAACCTCACAACCAAAGCCAGGAGAAGGAATCAAACCCACAACTTCACAAACACAGGGAGAACCCCACACACAAATCCAGGTGTAGGATTCAAACCCACAACCTCACAAACACAGGGCAAACCTCACAACCAAAGC